GTTGAAAGAACAACATTATTAATATCTATTTTAATAGTTTTAATTATATTATTATTAGAAGTATTAGAAAGTATTTCATTATTATTAAACGCTTTTGTTAGGATAATATATTTTATAGTTTGAGTGATGTTATTAGTGAGAAAAGTATCTATATTTTTAGAAAGGATTTTTTATTTTTTATTGTTTTTCATTATTTTCTAATAAAGTTTGTTCACTAGACTCTGAAATAGAGTTTGTAAACTGTTCATTATTATTTTTTATGGTATTCGTTTGTTTTTATTGTAAGGTTAAGAAATATTTTAAATATAATTTTTTGTTCTAGTTTTTGATTAATAGAGTCAAGTAAGAGTTTGTGTTAATCAATGTTATTAAAAGCTAATCACTTAATCTAGAAATATTTGTAAAAACTAAAAGTAATTATTTTAAAATTCATTATAAAAGAATCTTAAGCTAGAATTGAAGTAAAAGAAACTGTCTGAAAATTAATAATGCTAAATATTAATTTCACTATCTAAAAATTTAAAGAAAATGAAAAAACTGTATATTAGTATATAAGAAAATAGAGTTACTTACAAATATTCAAAATCAATTATTTAAGCTAAAAATCTTTAAAATGAAATAATTATGTGATCTAAAAGTTATAGAAATATCAATTTAAAATAACTAGATTTAGCCTTTAAAGAGCTTCAAAAAAGCTAATATTCATTAAAATTGAATTACAAGAAATTGAAATAGTTTTAAAAGTTAGCAAAATTTTAATTATATATTATAAGAGATTTAAAATAGATTTAAAGTCAATTTTGAAGAAAATATTCATGAGTTAATTTTGAATTAATTTTCTGATGATGTCAAAGTCTAATTACCTAAAAAAGATATAAAATTTAGTATAAAAAATTATTAATTGCTTATAATCTGAAAATTGTCAAATTAATATATCTCATTAGAATATTAAGAATTTTAAAATAAACTTGAATTGTAATTATTAGATGATAATCTCTTAACATTATATAGTAATCTAATAGTTGATTAATAAGTTGATAGTTCTATTATATATAGTAAAATATATTCCCACTTTGGTAAGTTAAGTTTTGTTATATACTGTCAGAGTATATTTATATCTCAATAAGTTAAGTTTGTTATATACTATTAGATTATATTTATATTTCAATAAGTTTACACAAATATTGATTATGTTTCTCAAAAAGTTTATACAAAAATTACAAAGTTATATTAAATAGTTTATTAATAAAATTAAAAAAATAAAAGATAAATATTAAAATATGAAAAAGAAAAAAAAAATTAATTGTATAATTAATTAAGATTGCTTATATTTTAAAAGGTAAACTGATCAAGTTATAGCTAGTAATAATAGTTATTTTTTATTATAAATTTAGTCTTATTTATATATTTTTAATATAAATCTAATATATTATATATATTAGACATATCAATTATATCAAGTTGCTAAATATGTTAGGTATGCCAAATATATCAGATTTATTAGATATATCAAATATAACAGATATGTCAGGTATGTCAGACATGTCAATTTGCAGTTTTCTACATTATATAAATATATCTGCTAAGTTAATTATGTTAACTATATTACTTATGTAACGATTTATATTATACTATGTAGATTAAATTATATTATAGTAGTCCTATTATAATATAAATAGCTTGTTTAATTATCTTTATTATTATAGTCTTACAATTTATTTAAAAAATTTAAAAATTAATGATTAGTATTTCTTTTAATATTATTATTTTCTTTAAAATTAATAATTTTAACTAAAAATAATAAAATCTTAAAAGGAAATATATTTTTGATAACTATTCTTAAAGTCTTAATTTTATTCTTAAAATTACAATTAAATTTTATTAAAATCATCAAAATACAAGAAAATTTCATCTAATTTCTATTATAAATTTGACAATTTTCTTTATATTTGTTATTAGTATATTTTAAAATAAAGTTATCTTTATTATAAGATAGAATTTTAGATATAATATTATTATTATTGGTAAATACTTAAAGTTATTAATAATAATATAATCTACTTACAATATTATAATGATGATTAAAATCATTATAATAAAGAAAATAATTATATAACATTGAAATAAAAGTTTAAATACTTAAATAATTTAATTATCATTTGTTAATATCAATTAATTTAAAATAAGTATTAAAATTATTATTTATAATTATTTATTTTAATATTATTTGTATTTTGTTAAAAATTTAAAATTTGATTTTACTAATAAATCTATATAAAATTTAAAATTATTTAAAAAATAATTTAAATAAACCTTATATTTTAAATATTCTAAAAATAAACTAAACTTTAAGTATATATTTATTAATAATAATAATTATTATTAGTATGATATGATTTCTAATTTTAAAAAATCTTAAAATAATTTTAATCTAATAACATATATGATACTAGATAATAATTATCATTATGAAGCAAAATTTATAACTTATAAAATTTAAGATTAAGTTGCATTTTATATTAATTCAAATATAAATAAATAATAAATAATTATTGTAATATTTATATTAATTTATAAATATTAATTTTATTGAAATTTTTGATATAACTAGACAAATATTTGCTTTAATTAAAGTAATAAAGAAAAATCACCAATTTTTATTTACAATAAAAAAAAAAAAAACCAAAATACTAAATAAAAAAATACTATTAAGGAAAATAAAAACACAATAAAAATAAAAAAGAATAAAATGATATAATGAAGCATTAACGATGATATATATTATATATATATATAAATTGAAGCTTTTAAATGTAAAATTTTTTAATTGTTTAATGAAATGATAATATGAAGAAGAGAATTTTATATTTACTTCCAAAAAAAAAAAAGAGATGTTTTTTTTATATACAAAAAGAATAGATAGAGGAAAGATGAGGAAAGAATATACATATATAAAAAATGTATCATTAATAAAAAAAATATATATATATTATTAACGAAAAAAAAAAACAAATCTATTGTTCATGTTTTTCGCCTACAAATTATTAATTAATGTTTAATGCTAAAATCTACCCATTTAAAATGTTAACAACGAATCCATTCATTCTGATGAACTTTTTCTTGTGTCCAACCATCCTCTATACCTAAACACCTACGATTATTATCATTAAAGTTTCCCGATAAATTTTCTCTATTTTGCTGTTCTTCTTGCTGTTTTGCTACTTTGTCCTTGTATAATATAGAAGGAGAACTACGTTTCCTTGGGATTGTGCCACGAGCGGCCGCAGCCGCAGCAGTAGCCGAAGATAAACGACCACATCCTTGTATTTCATAAGTTGTAGTCGTCATAAGAGAACCAGTGAAGTTGCAAGTATCGGATTCCGTAGGATTGTAACAAATTTCACTACCGTCATCATTTATGGTCTGTCCATCGCTTTTTAAATCCAACCCATTTTTCATACAAACGGCTTCGATTGCTTCAATTTCTCGTTGTAGAGCACGTATATCATCATGAAATGTAGCATAAGTCTTTCGAAATTGATCGTAATCGGTTTTTTGATCCCTACGTGCTAAATCTATATCTTTTTGAATGTCTTCACAAACTATCTCGCTTTCATCGTCTTCAATATCTGAAGGTGCTGCTGCCTTTGTATCATTAGCTAAGGTAGCTTTATTGTTAAAATATTCGATATCTTCAGTAGTGCAAGTTAAAGGTGAAGAAGCCCTTCTTCGACGAAGTGGTTTATAGGCCTGTACTTCGTCATCCCAGTGGGGAAAGGAAAATTGTGGTTCATTGTATTGTTCTTCATCACCACCAATTTTTGCAGGATAGTTAAAACGAGAGAAATTTGGGTAATAATATGGTGAATAAATATTTTGTTCTGGTTTAATTTCTTTTTTTTGTACCATTGTGAACCGAGTTATGTAAAAAGTAGTGAAAAAATTTATGACTTGTTAGAATGTACTTTCGAAGTGTTTTTAATTCCACGAGTAGTTATAGAAGTGCTTATTTTATATTTTAAGCAGGATTGATATAATAATTTAAAAATTTTAAAAAATTTTTTAATGATTTGATTGTGCGTTTTGATGATTATGAATGAAGTATTTAAACGTATGTTGATTTAATTTTAATATTCAAAAAAAAAATTAAACTGTTGTGAAAGGACGTGTCAAAAAAAAAAAAAAAAAAAAAAAAAAAAGAGGCGCTTGCTTTATATGCATATATATATATATTATGATTTTTTATTTAATTTTTTGTTTCCTTGTTCAAAAAGAATTTTTTTGCTCCTTCAAAGTTAACTAGTTAGTATAGGAAAAAAAAAATAGGATTTCCGAAAGAAAAAAAAAAAAAAAAAAAAAAAAACCTGTCTGTGGGCGGATAATTTTTTCTTGTTCGGTCAGACAAAAAAGGATCGACAACACGTATCAATTTTAAGGTAGGTAAAAGGAGTGAAATTATGTAAATGTTGTAATAATGCATATTTAACATATGTGCATCTCTTCTGTTAAGGACGTTTATTCATGCAAAACCTTATAAATGTGTAAAGATTCTTTTTTTAGATTTTTTTCACTTATTTATATAATAATGTGAAACGTGTCACCGCATTTTCAAGTTTTTTTTTTTTTTTTTTCAAAAGAAGGGTAAAAGGGACCCTTTTAAATCCCTTTCCTTCTTACCTTCGTTTAGAATGAACACTAAACTTTATTTGTTATTCTTCATACATTCGTACAGGTTTTTTTTTTAAGGTTGTACCGCCTTTTGCATTTGTCAAAAAAAAAAAAGGGAACCATTTTCTTTTAAAATAGGAATTGATTATTGATCTTGTCACGTGTAAAAAAACGATTTTATTTACAAAAAAAAAAAAGGAAAGAGGAACAATTTTTAAAAAAAATGAAAATTTGCAAAATGTAATAAAATATACAAAAATAAATAAATAATAACAATAATGAAATAATTCACTTATCTAAAAAGTTTTATATACACAAAACTAAAATTATTATTAATGAGGCATAGCGCCGTGAACTTGTAGACGATATAAACAAGTGAATTGAGGGTTCTCATGATTGTTGAGAACTTTCATCATGATAGCACTGATACGTTTATTTGATTGGGATTTGGCAATGGAATCAGGTAAAATAAATTTTTGCTTGGGTAGACCGTTAATATCATATTGAAATTTTCCAAGAAAAACTTTATAATCTTTCTTAAATATTTCCAGGGAATTCTCATTGTCTCCCGTCTTCGAAATGGATGTTGGCAAACCCCATAATTCAAATTCTTTCGGAGCGGATAATATAGGATCAATTGAGACATCTCTGCTAATGTGATGATATATGATATGAGTGAATATGATACTTCTAGATAATTTAATGGTGATTTGTCCATTTGTACCATTAAAACACCAACATTCCCCCACGTTAACATTTGGTGAAATAACGATCTCGGGATTTTTACTCTTGACATTATTGACGAATCCACCTAACCTCAATAATTTTTGATAGGGCTTATTTGGTCTTAATTCATAATTCTTTGAAGTTAATTTATGGATTATCCTTGCCCCTCCGGTATATAAGGCAAAATCCGCTCCCGATCCAACGTCCATGAATTTTTCCAACTGTTCTTGAAACACTTCACTTAATTGCGTGCGTACGAATCCAATGAAATCATTATCCTCATCAGTATTCTCCATTAATCCTTTTGATACCCGAGAAATTTCCTGATCAATAAATTCCTGTACTTGAGCTTTCACCGTACCCTGTAATTTACCTTTAATTAGGTTTTTCTGACGCTGAGTTAAAATATATTCCGGAGAATTATTTGTTATGAATCCGAATAAATATCCGATCATCGAGATTGAACATAAAAAACAAAATAAATAAAATACTATGTTCTTCGTTGTTAGATTCGTTATCCAATGCATCGGAAATTGACAATTAATTGAACTTAATACATTGTTAACAAATTGTGCCCTTCCGTGATGATGTGAATGATGAACCATGGCCACTTCTCGAATGTTACGACTACGATTAGTAATGAGATTATTACCATCATACCCATCAAGTACCGCCGTTGTGTTTGATTCATCCTTTTTCATCAGGGTTGATGTAAATCTAAATTTTGATTCTTGAGAACTTCGAAAAGGACTTAATGAAGTTGGGGGAGTTCTTGAACTTCTTGATGAATATGATGATGATGATGATGATGATGATGAACGATAGGATGATGAAGTAGTAGAAGTTGACGAGATTGATGAGAAAATTGATTCAACTTGATCCTCACTAAAGTTGCTGCCTTCCCCAAAAAATTCTTCAAGATTGGATGGGAATTCACCACCGAATTCACTTTCGGTGTCACTATATTCCGATAAATCAACACCTGCCGCGATCAATTGTTCTTTATTACGTAAAATCAATCTCTTTTTCATTTTATAATAAACCACTTCTTCCAATGCTTCCGTATTGTTTATGAACCAATATTCTGGTGACGTTGGATTATAAAAATTTCTAATATCTTGCTCATCTAACTTCATCTCTAATAATTCCATTGCATCCTGTTGAATTCTTGGATATGCTATTTTATATGCTTTTTCTAAATCTTGAAATGTTGGAAAATCTGGATGTCCCCAACGGATTGAACTCGTTTTACTTCGTGTAATCGGTGACATGATTCCTTTTGCTCGGAACAATATTTGTACAAAAAAAAAAAATAACGTTTCTCGAAGATAATGCACAAAAAAAAAATTTTTTTTTTCCTCCCAAGATATATATATATATATAGATAAATATAATATATGATTTAAAGTTCCATCTAAAAAAAACAATAAAATTATAAAAAAAAAAATAAGAAAATAAGAAAATAAAGGAAAAAAAAAAGGATTCCGAGGATCTCCAAAAGGGAATAATTTATGCACCGGGAGAATCTTTTCTAACTTAAAACCGTTTTTTTTTTTTTTAAAAAAAAAAATCTTTTTTTAATTAAGTTTTTATATACCATTTTATGAATTAGATTTAATTGGTTGAAACAAATAATTATTTGGTTGTATGACAAGCATTTTTTGAGTTTTTAAAAAAAAAAAGTATGCAGTTACAAAAAATGCACAAAATGTAACAAATGTTCAGGGTACAACAAAGTTACATCAATGTCATATGATCACTTTTCACACCCCCCTCAAATTACTCCCCACTTTTTTTTTTTCCTCTCCTTAAATAAATAACCCTTTTTATTCCTTTTTGTGGAACCGTAAAAGATATTCCTGTTGAATATTGAAAGATAAAAAAATTACCACATTTGTATGAGTTACTTTAAATCATTTACATAAGTAATCTTGTAGGATTTACATGATTAAAACATGCTACTCCATATGACCAAATTGACATAATCGTGTCAAATTTCGAATACGTGTTTTAACTCTCGAAGAAGATGAATATGTGCGTAGTAAAGTAACGTGAATTTTAAAGATTATCTATATCTACATCTTACTTTATGTTATTTATACATGTATAATGTAATGATTAAAATGATCATCATCTAGATCTACATTATTAATATTATTAATATAAATACTGAAAGAAAAAAAAAAATTTTTTTTACTTTACTTCAAAATCATGTCAGAGACATTAACTCACCCACAAATTCAAGGTATGAAGAAAAAAGAATCAGATAACTCGAGTCGTGATTTATTAATTGAATCGATGATTATTAGATGGCTGGTTTCGTGAGAAACCCACGCTTTGGCCCGGTCAAGGTATGTTATTTTTTTTTTTATTTTGATGAATTGAATCCAGATAATCAACTCATCCCTCTTTTCGATTCATACAACCTTTTTTATGCGCTGATTGATTTGATTCTTACAGCCATGTGTTTAAAAGTTGAAGAAATTTTATGTCATGAAAATTCTTTGTATCAAGATGTCTTGGTTTTTAAATCAGAAACGTACGGTACCGTGCTGGTGTTAGATGGAGTAATTCAATGCACTGAACGTGATGAATTTTCGTAAGTTCTTTCCATCTTAATAATTAACACGCTTAGATGCACGAAATTCACGCATGATAAATGAAATAAAAAAATTTAGATATCAAGAGATGATAACTCATCTTCCAATGAACAGTCATCCAAATCCAGAAAAAGTAAGCTAGAAAGGATCTTCGGCTTCATTGTACTATACACGTGATGCTTATTACGATAACGATTTTTAGGTACTTGTAATTGGGGGCGGGGATGGTGGCGTACTTCGTGAAATCGTTAAACATAAATCTGTTAAAGAAGTCATCTTATGTGAAATCGATGAGGTATTATGGGTTTGAGGAATTTTCTCATCATTAATCATTTATTATTTTATCATTATTATTTTTATTTAAATTTTTTTTTTTTTTTCCGTTAGTCTGTCATTCGTTTGTCAAAAAAATATTTACCGAAAATGGCAATTGGATTTGATGATCCAAAAGTCACAATACATATCGGTGATGGATTTCCATTTTTAGAGGATAAAGTTGATTCTTTCGATATTATAATTACTGATGCTTCGGATCCTGTTGGTAACGTCATAAATCAATTTGTTCTTTTCTTTTTTTTTAAAAAAAAAGGTTGATGGATATAAGGTCTTTTTTTTTTTATTATTTTAGGTCCTGCCGAATCATTATTTCAGGAACGATATTATGAATTAATGAAAAATGCGTTACGTCCTTGTGGAATCATTTCATCACAGGGTAATCCTTTCTTTTGTATTCCAATTTTAACTTCAAAAAAAAAAAAAATAACAATAACTATATCTCTGATTAATTCATTATTAGGCGAATGTCAATGGCTTCATTTAGAATTAATCTCAGCAGTACAAACTTATTGTCATAAATTATTCCCCGTAGTGGAATATGCTTTTACTACAATTCCAACTTATCCTTCAGGTCAAATTGGTTTCATGTTATGTAGTAATGATCCTTCTATTAATTTGAAAAAACCTTTAAGGAAATGGTCGGAGGAAGAAGAAGAAGATTTATGTAGATATTATAATGCTCAAGTTCATGAAGCTGCTTTTGTTTTACCTCAATTTACTAAAAATGTGTTGAAAAAAATTATCCCAAAATAAATAATTTAACCGGGTGAGAACAATAAAATTTTATTGAATTAAGAATGATATATACTTATGTTACATAATAAAATTACACAAATAGACAAAGTAAAAACTATAAATTATTAAATCTGATATAACCTCATTCTTTTACTATTCTAATAATAAGATCTCCCGCATTTAATGAGTCACTCTCTTTAACTGCGACATGTTCAACCTTTCCAGAAACCGGTGATGAAACTACTGTTTCCATCTTCATTGCCGAAAGTACACAAATCGGATCACCAGCTTTAATCTCTGCTCCCTCTGTTTAAAAGAAACGAGGAAATAAATCATTATAATTAATAAAAGTATATATATATATATATTTTTTTTGTTAAAAAGAAAATAAATAAATAAATAAATAAATAAAATTTTAACCAACCATGTGCTCTCACTTCAATTACCACACCAGACATTGGTGCACCAACTTCTCCAGGGTTTCCGGGATCAGCTTTTACTCGCTGTACATGTTCAACAGCTAAATACCAAGGTCAAAAAAAAAAAGGTAATAGAATTGGTGTAAAATTCAATTAGCTAAAATTTAACAGCAAAACGTTCTTTATATTTCACAAACCTGCACTTGTATCTACTACTCCGACAACCCGTGCTTCACCATTTAACTCAAAGAAAACTTCGCGTCTACCATTGGTCGTGTTTAGAGGTCCAACAGCCAAGTATTTAATAATAAGCGTAACACCCTCTTCAAGTTCTATGCTTAATTCTTCGCCAATTTCAGGTCTTGATAAGAAATATCGAGTGGGTATAACTGATACGTCACCATATTTCTCAAGGTTTTCACGATATTCCGCAAATACTTTAGGATATATGGCAGCAGATACAACGTCCACATCTCGAATAGATCCTCCATATTTAGCAACTAATTCTTTTTTAAGTTCGAGCAAATCTAATGGTTTCATTGTAGCTCCTGGTCGACCATCTATTCTTGGAAGGTCACGAATAATCTAATTGTAGCAAAGAGGTCAGAAATGAATAATAAACCAAAAAAGTAAATAATTTGTAATACTCACATCTGAGCGAAGTGGTTCAGGAAATCCTCCATATGGTTGCCCTAAATATCCTTGGAAAAATTCCACAACCGACGTTGGGAATGATAATGTTTTTGCTTTTGCAATTACCTAGATATGCAATAAACCATATTTCGTCAATTGACCGACGTAAACATAAACATAATGGAGGAAAACTTACATCTTGGTAGTTTAATTTATTAGAAACCAAAAATTGTGCGAGATCACCAACGACCTTTGAACTTGGCGTTACTTTAACTATATCACCACATAGTTTGTTGGCTTCAGTATAAGCTTTCTTAATTTCTTTCCATTGCTTTCCAAGTCCCAATTGTGCTGATTGAAACATGAGATTTGTATATTGACCTCCAGGCATTTCGTGCTCATAAACTGACGAATCAGCACTCAAGACTCCAGCTTCAAAACAACTATATAATTTACGTGCCTGTTCCCAATATCCATTCAATGCATGCACATCCTCTAACCTAATGCCCGTGCCAAGATCAGTATGTTCTAACGCAGATACTACTGCACCCATTGAAGGTTGAGAGGTTGTTCCAGACATACTATCAATAGCCAAGTCAATAACGTCAGCGCCGGCTGCTGCGGCTGCTAACATACTAGCAACACCAGTACCGGCGGTATCGTGTGTATGTACATGTATAGGCAGATCAGGCCACTTTTGTCTGATAGAACCTATTAGAAGTTTTGCTGCTTCGGGTTTCAATAAACCTGCCATATCTTTAATACCTAATACATGTATTCCCAAATTTACCAACTGTTCAGTAAGAACTAGATAATATTGTAAATCATGTTTTTTCCTCTTGGGATTGGTAACATCGCCGGTATAACAAATGGCCGCTTCAACTATGCCACCGGCCTTTTTGACTGCATCAATGCCTAGTTTCATATTTTCGATATAATTAAGTGAATCAAAGATACGAAATACGTCCATCCCATGATCTTTTGCTTTTTGACAAAATTCATATATAACATTATCTGGGTATGAAGTGTAACCGACAGCGTTGGCACCACGAAGCAACATCTGAAAGGGAATGTTTGGAACTAGCGCACGTAATTTATCCTAAAAAAAAAAAAAAAAAATTCATGTATATTACTGATTGTCAATTTTCGAAAAATAATATTTAACAATAAAAATTCAATCACGAAACTAACCAAACGGTCCCAGGGATCTTCATATAAAAACCTCAACGCAACGTCAAAAGTTGCACCGCCCCACATCTCCAAAGAATATGCATTAGCAAGAGCATGTGCAGTATGAGAAGCAATATTCAAAAGATCTGATAGATTGATGTAAAACAATTAGATATTGTTTCGATGGACGAATAGTTATAAATAATCATACCAATTGTCCTAACTCTAGTGGCCAATAAGCTTTGATGCGCATCTCTCCAGGTTGTATCCATGATCAATACACCATTATATTCACGTACGGCTTTAGCAAAAGCCTTTGGTCCTTTCTCAATAAAAATGTGTCTCCATCCATGTCCAGGAGGAATTTGTACATCAACA